AATTTCAAAACACATGTCGGTATACATAACAGTATAATAAATATATAATAAAAAACATATATATATTATTATATGTAATCCAAATATATTTAACAGATATTATAATTCAAAGAATTAGAGCAAAACAAAGAAATATTACATATATAATATAAATACTATAAATAAAAATATATATATAATGCTAGAAGTATATATAAAATAATAAATACTAAAAAATAAAACCCTAAATTAAAACCTGAACTCTGAACCCTAATCCCTAAAACCTAAACCCGGATCCCTATATATATTTAAAATTTATTAGTGTATTATACCAAAAAAAATATATATTCTTTGCCTTTTGTTAGATTTCTATGCTTGTATAGAAATTCTTATGATGATCCAAATGTATATAAAAAAAATGTTCCTTTGTGTGTCCCTTACAGAAGAATTATATATTACTGTATGTTAAATTAAATTTTCTCGGTGATTCTAAATTTTCATACATCGAATAATCTTCTGTTATATTATTATCCATTATAATATTACGTTTTCTTTTAGATTTTCCTACTAAGGCTTTTTTTAACCAATATCCGACTGGAGTAAACTAATGAAAATATGATGTTTATAAAACATATTTTATGCATAGTACTATTAGACTTAAAAATTTATAAATTTTATTTAATATAATGTAATACATATTTCTTTTTTATTCATATAGACGATTACTTTGCACAGTATAACAGGAAGTACTGTAATTCCTATAACTAAAGGAGGAATTACTATATTTCTTGAGAATGAAGAAACTGAAAAATCAAAAATGCCACTCTGATGTGGAGCTTGAATATATGAAGGATGAAATTCAAAAAGAACATGGTTTAAATCTTGTACATTTGGATCTTCATATGAATCTGCAGGTACCACACTTCTAGGTAATTCTTGTCGTTGTTCACTTGTTCTTGACTGGATTCTTATTACTCCTGATTCTAGCACTCCATTATGATGTTCTTGTTGTATTGGCGATCTATAATTATTATTTGGTGAATTACATGACAATTCCTTTGGATCCTTACCTTCAATAAGCTTATTAATATATTCACAATGCTTAGACCTTTTAGGATCTTTACTGCATTTTAATTTGAAATTGCTATATATAAAGGCATATTTTTTAAGAAGTTCCTTATAACCAGCACTACATGACCCATTAGTTGTAACTTCTTTAAGCTTATTATAATCTTTTGAATAATCAAAAAGTTGTTTAATGTCCATAAATTCTTCTCGATCGATATTATAGTGATCATAATTACATATACTGCTACCTTCATTGTTTTTTAGTATAAAATTAATAACATTAATAACAGGTGCAAAATTTATAATATATTCTATGTTTTTATATATTATATCTCCTAACCAATAGTACAGATAATCACAATAAGAACTATTAATTTTCCCCTTCGTATTTAAATCATATATATGGCATAAGGCATTAACTATTTTTTCAGGAGTATTCGTAATCCATTTCTGCGTTTTTATAAGGTTCATTCCATTTACCATAACAAAATCATACTCACAACTATCATTTACATCATCTAGCATAGCGTACATCTTTTTTGAAGGTAAATTATTAAGTACATTATCCTATGAATATAAAAGAAATAACAATATATATTTATATTTTATTTATAAGAAAAATACAATAATTAATTTAAGAAAAAATATGGTATTTTAACATAAATAATAATATATATTACATAAAATACATACAAATAGTTCACCTCCCATTGTTAAAAAATGTTAAGTGTGATATACTAACAGAATAGATCAATTATATATTTAACTATGTATTTAATAATATATTGAAAAAATCCTAGTAACTATTATAAGCACATGTATAGTGGTATCTAAGCTTTTGGATTAGTCCTTATAGTGTTGTCTATTTTTACAAAATTTTACAATATGTAATTTCTTTAACATTATGCTCTAAGAAATATGGATGTATATTTTTTCATAGGATGTGTTATGTAAATATATATATTTTATGTATTACAAGATATTCGTAATATGAATATTAAATTAATTTTTTGGAATTCTTAATAATATATATATAGTGTACATTACAGTTACAATATGCATTCTCTATGCATAATTCTTATGAACTTAAGTGTCATGTACCTTATAAATTAAATAAAATTTAATATTTTCGTTTTTTTTATTTTATAGTGAATATGATAGTTTTAATTATATTTATATAATTTACATTAATAAGGATATATTTGTAAACTTTATTACAAGAGGTATGTCAATTTTTTTCACGCTATAAATTTAATGGACTTCATAAAAAAAAAAAAAATTTTCTTGAAGTCATTACGATTTTCTCTAATTTTCATATTATATATGATATGTTTTATATATATATGCACATACTAATAATAATATTCTAATGCACAACAAGAAATAAGTTATAAATATTTTTTACATACATATTACTATCATAATTCGATTATTGCACGTTATATAATTTTCTTTTCATTGTATGTTATTTTAGTTCGAAATTATTTGAACCCATAATACTGTTAATAAATTTTTTTTTGTCAGAAAAAATGTATGTTTTAATTAAATTTTTACGAGTAATTTTTTTTTTTATAGATATATGAAGTTATTACTTCATAATTAAAGTAATTATAAAATTTTACGAATAAATTCAAGTTTATAAATAGTAATAAATGTGTTCAATAATATAGATTTATTAAAAATCATTTATAATTATTGTATAATTAAATGTATATAAATTTATTTTAAATGATAAGCTCATTTGTTGACACATAACTATATTTTGGCGTATTCTTTTATTAAATCATGTCATACGGTGAAGTAGTTTATATAATGGACCAATGTTATCATATTTAAATGTAGTAAATTTTAATATGTCACTATAACGTAATGTGTCTAAGACTATATATGAATTTTATATTTATTTCTTTTTTAACTTCGTGCGTTTTGTAAAAAAGTATATTTATTATATATTTTATTTTGTATTGTTAATGACAATATATTTTATTCTAATAATTATGCATAAATGTACTTATTAAATATAATGTATTATGTTGTTAAAATAATAAATAATTTTATATCTGATTCACAGAGGATTAGGGTTTATGGTTTAGAAGCATTAGATTTTGTTATAAATTATTTATATATTTACAATTATCGTTATGACAATGAGATCACTGATAATTTTGTATAGTGATTAATTTTAATTTTAAATAAAATTCATTATTTTTAAATATATATGTGGAGATGGAATGCATGATAATTGGAGGAACAGTGAAATTAGTATGTATTATCACACTCTAGGAGAAATTTTGCAAAATTGAAGAGAAAAACATAAATGCTTTGAAATTAACCATATCATATTTAATACATGTGATAATATATAAGTAAATATAATGAACGAAAGGAAGATATAGAAATAATTTTAAGATAAATTATATTTTGGTTGGAATAAATTGTCCTTATTAATTATTTCATTTAACTGTTTATAAGGCAATATCTGAATATTTATGAATTTATAGCCAATGTACATATTTTATGAATGACCATGGGTTATAAATAAAATCTATACCATGAAGTTATATTTTGTTAGGTAATAATTTATTTTTATGCTACTATTTTCCTTATTCCAAACACATATAGCATATGTTTTAAGATACATTCATTTGTGTATATTAAATATATAGATCGTGTGCTTGTCTAATAATATATCATTA